CAGGGCTGATCAAATTCCATCATCCCATTGGGAGATGCTCCACCCAGGTGGAGGAGCCAAGCATTTCCTACCTGGATAAATTCTGAGATTTGGAACATCAGAGCAGCCTTTTCCCACTGGATCGCCATTGGATAACCAGACTCTTCCAAATCATCACTGGAGTTTTGGAGGAAAACTGCACCTTGTGCAGGAGCCCTGCTCCAGCAGAACCAAATCTGTCAGTGCAGGATTGCAGCCACCATGGAATGGGACTGCACCAACCCCTGACTGACTGACGGGGGGTCAGCTTGGATTCTCACTCTGTCAGTGTTTATTTGTTTTGTATTACTGTATTTTTATTTTAATTTTCCTAGTAAAGAACTGTTATTCCTATTCCCCTACCTTTGCCTGAGAGTCCCTTAATTTCAAAATTATAATGATTTGGAGGGAGGGGTTTTACATTTTCCATTTCAAGAGAGGCTCATGCCTTCCTTGGCAGACACCTGTCTTTCAAACCAAGACAAAGGGGCACAGGTACCCCCCTCCCTCCACATGTCCCTGACAACCCCCACAACTGATGCTGTCTGGTGGCAACAATACGGGGGGGGACGGGGACTCTGGGGAGAACAGAAAGTGTCCAAAGAACAAACTGCAATAACATAACCACACATCAACAAAACTTCTCTTAACAAACACAATATTCATCCCTGAACTGTGAGAGCCAATCATCATATTACCCATCTGTAACATCTGTGAACCTTTGCTTTACACACAGGCTGCTGTGTGAGGAGCTCAGCTGTCCGAGCAATCCTTGTGCTGTGAGAACCCAGGTTCTGTGAGACTTTGCAGCTGAACTCGCTGTAGCTGTTATCCCTATAATTCCAAAGTGTGTCTCCAGTAGGAAAGCATCTTTATGTCCTTATTGCCCTACTAGATAAGGAGACTGAGGCCAGGGGAGTCACTGCTCTGAGGACATCAGAAGGAATTAACTGGATGGAAGGAGAAGCAGGGATCAGGTTAGCTCAGTGCCAAGGCTGCTGACATGTGGACTACTTTGTTCCCTAAGCTACCTGGATGATGTGGGTGAGCAGTGAGGGAGGCGTGGGAGTGGCTGCAAAGGGAGATGTGTGCCTCGGGGAGTGTTTCTTCACTAGTCCCGTGCTTTCCAGTCCTTTGGAGGGTTTCTGCTCTTGACAGGCAAGGGTAAGTCCCTGGCTTTCCATCCTGTGACCCTACTGATACCTGACTCTGAGATGATCTCATTTGGTTAGAGAGCATGGTGCTAATAACACATAACACCAAGGTTGTGGGTTCAACCCCTGTGTGGGCCATTTACTTGAGTTGGACTCAGTGATCATTTTGGGTCCCTTCCAACTCAGAATAATCTGTCAATCTGTTAATCTCTGCTGCAGCTTTCAAGTGAATTTCTCTGCTGCAGTAGTTGCTGCTCTGTTCTGCTATCCTGTCTTTCAGGAAGTGCCATTCCCAGCCTCTGTAAGCTGATTTAGAAGGAATCAAGTTCCCAAACTACCCTCCCTTTTACAACTGACTAGAACAGCTGGGCTGAAAGCAACAGGGAATTGTTAGATAGATTACTTTTATTTTCTCCCCCAACTGTCCCATCCCCAGTCTTGAATTGCCTAGTGGGGGAGAAAACTCCTCAATCTGTCCACCACCCCCCAGGTGGGTAATAATAGATGCTTCATATAGAAAAATTCAATTAGACTTGACAGGAGATGTATGATAGTGCTTCATTGCCAGGACCCCATATTGCTCTGTTGTGTTCCTCTACAAGAGACTTGCTGTAGAAGTTAATATGAAAAAATCAACCAGCCAATCAACCAACCAAAAAACAAAACACCCAAAAAACCCCCAAAACTAAAAAACAAACAAAAAAGAACCCCAAAACCAGCACAAAAAACCAACCAAAACCAACAACAACAACAACAAAAAAAAAAACCCTAAAAACCCCAAGGAGGGGGAAAAAAAAACAAAACAAAAAACAAAATAACAAACCCATTTTAACTATAATGGCATCTATACCCAAGATTAACTGTGGTGGGCTTTGTAGAAAAGAAAATTGCAGTGGTATCTTGTACAACCAAGTACAATCAGGTACCCAGGACATCAGGTGCCAGCTGGTAAGAGCAGGACGGGGCTGTCATGATGTACCAGGGCTTCTCTTGGTGCCTCTGAGTATTAAAGCAGCTGGGGTAAGAGGTGTTCACGTGGTGTCTTGGCAAAGAATGAAATGTTCCTGTGTTAAACCTTCCAGACCCTTCATCTACCTGTTCCATCCCACTGTGGGTGTTTGGAAAACACTTGTGTGTTCAGTGTAGCTCAGCACTGCTGGGGTGCCTTGTGGGCATGATGTGCAAAGGAACACGAGCCCTTTCTGCTGCTCTTGTTGCCATGATCAGGACTGGAAGGGGACCCTTTTATGTGGTTTTGGCTTTTTGGTATTTTTTTTTCTTTCTTCATCATGAATGTTTCAGCAATACTCAACCTTTGTGTTTTAATGCTCAGATTTCTAAATACTCTGAATCTGGGGGATGCAAATATCTGAAATAAATCACTTGGGCAGACCTCTTTCTGTCTGTACAGCATGTTTGCATTGATCACTGGTGTTCCCAGAAGCTACTGTGTAGTGTCACACAACTGCTTGCTGGTGTTGGCACAGCAGAATGCAGAAAGAAGTCACAGGTGGTGGTGGTGACAGAGCCCTGAAGCAGCTGGGAGATTTAGTATATGTACATATATTACATATATATATTACATTTAGTTTCTGTAGTCCTATTAAATTGCATTGTCTCAATTTCCAGGAAGTCTGTAAGGTGTGAGAAGCCATTACCCTCCTGCACTCTGTTTGACTGGTGAATTGACATCACCTTGGAATGGGGTGTACATGGATGATGCAGTGTGTTCAGACTTACAGTTTTGATGAAAATTCAAAAGGCATTTGGAACAAAATATTTATAATGTGAGCAAGACTTTTTTTAGCCCATGTACCCAGACACTTGCTTTGGGACTCTAGTACTGACATGGCTAAATGTGAGGAATAATTGCTCCCTTTTGGGCAGGTAAACTCAAAGTGAGGACCATGGTCCTACCTCCTATGGACAAAGGCCACAGTATCTGAAGGTTTAATCCTGAGGTTTATCCTGACTATAAGATGGTGACTTAGGAGAGGTTCAGTTTAAGAATTGCACTGAGGTAATATTGCTCCCCTTACTATACTGATTCCTTAAGGACAAATGGAGGGATTATTTCTTCTGTGGGGCAGGGAGTTGGCAGTGAGCTGAATATTAACAGCTGCATTAAAGGCTAAGGTAAAGCAGCAGAGCATGACAGTGTGTGCAGAGGTAAGGGAAAGGAAACACATTCTGAACTGATTCTGGTGCCTCTTGGGTCAGAACTAAGGTTGAACTCACAGCAGAGCTAGTGACAAATGACATGGAGCGTGTGCAGCAGGGCTGCAGGACTCTGTAGAAGCCTTCCTGTACCTTCTCTGTGCCTTGCATGAATTCCCACTGTTTGAAATGCACTTCTGCTTGCTGTTACACTGCAGACCCATTGCACATTAAGTGCTTCCCATGGGTCCAGGGTGCTGTGGAACAGAGCACGTTCCTCTTTCAGGGACACCCATGGTATTATACACAATACAGTGACTCCTGCTTTTGGGGAGGACTGACTGACATGCTCCACACAATCAGAAGACAGGTGCTTGAGCACAGGGGACAAATACCCAGTACACAAGAGGAAATCCACACACAATTGTGTCACTTTATTATGTTTGCCTGGACTCTGGCACCCGGGTGCAGCTGTGCAGGAAGCCTGAGGAAGCAGCAGGCACAATGTCCAAGTGGGAAGCTCTTTCCTTTGGCTGCAGGCAGTAGCTGGCACTGCATGTGTAAGGGGGCACTCAAATGGCAGCCAGGAAGGGAAGACATCAGATGGACACAAAAATATAAATACTTTCTCTACATAGCACCAGCTCTGTTAGGGGATGCTCTTCTGAGTGGAATAACTAGCAGGGACAGTCTTGGTTCAGGAAAGCTTAGGGTCTGTTCAGGATGGGGCTCACAGCCCTGAGTGATTTCAAGGAGCACAAGGCACATGTGGGAGAGTGAAGTGCTGTCTTGTCAGCAAGCACATGGCAGAGGCAGACGTGGACTTGTTGCAGACACAGTCAGTAGGAGGTGAGGCAAGGCCAACAGCTTTCTGTGTCCTGCTAGCAGAGTCACAGTGGATGACCAGCATGCTTGCTACATGAAGCATGCAGAGGCCAGGAAGGGGTAAATGAGTTTTTCATTTATTCCTGGATCCTAGCCCCAGTTTTTTCTAACCCATTTCCCTAAGTTGCTGTCATCTCTCTCTCCCCCTGCAATTACTCTCAGATGCCATCTGAGGGAGACAAATGAAACCCCAGGGTTGGGCACCAGACAGGTTTCTCTTCCCAACACTTTCCTTGATAAATGGATGCTGGGAACAGTGTAAGAGAAAATAATTCAATCTCTCTTGCTTTGCATTATCACTAAAAATTTAACTAATAGCATTGACAGGCAAGCTAGAGCCCCTCTGTGGTAAAACAGTGTTACCTGTTTATAAATGGGAGAACCCAAGGTTCTCACTGCAGGTCATGGAAACAGCTGGGGACAGGGCTCTGGGTTTCCCTGGTATGTTTTGAGACACGGGGCCTGTGGTTTTCTTTATTCTTTTCTTCCCACTCTGACTTCCACGAAATATTCTTGAAGTATCCCTTCAAGTTAAGGAGTGCCCAAGTCAGGGAAGCAAGCAGGAGAGATACCAGATTAGAGGATTAGAGACTTAAGAGGGGAGACCTGCGGGATTTTTAGGTGATCTCTTGTATGATGGAGAACAATAGTGCAAGTGGTGAGGCTGAGCCTTGTGGTGCATTCACAAATTCATTCACATTCTTTGCACAGCTCTTCTTGAAGAAGGATGGGTGGTGGCTCCTGACATCTTGCACACATGTTCCTATGCAGAGAGGCCATATGCTCTATAGCCAGAGGCAGCACCATGCAGAAACCATCCCAAGGCTAGGGGATGCCCTGAGGGAAGTCAGCTCCAGCATGCAGATCCTGGTTAAGCATAGCTATGGCTCCACTGTCACACTGCTGTTGGTGACACGGACACCATACCATCCCTTCCAGAACAGCGTGTCCTGCCCACCGTGTTCAAAGCGCACAAAACGGACCCCAGGACCGTAGCTGGAAAAGGTGTGGGAGATCTTTGGGACAAGAGACAAAATCGTTGTTAATAAGTGTCAAACCACCACAAACCTACCATTGCTCAGTGCACAGAGCCTTCAGCCCCACTGGCCACAGTCAGACCTACCAGGCTGGGTAACAGTGGGGACATTTACAGGGGGAGAAGCTATGGATCCCATTGTTCTGAGACCACTCAATCACTCCCAGCTGGACATCTCCTTCACCTTTCACTCAGCAAGTTTCCAAGTTTCCTGTAAAGCAGCCTCCCTTTTCCTTTTTCAATCATAGGGTCATGGCTCCAGAGAACACATGACAGAGCCTTCTCCTCCCCTTGGAAAATTCTTCTGCTTAAAAATATTCCTGATTCATGTAGGTTGGGTGTCACCTGCTGAGCCCATACCTGTAACTCACCTCAGTCCAGCTGGCATCGTTATCCTGTGGGATGGTAACAGTCTCACTTTTGTACTCAGCCAGCACATCCTCATTCTCAGAGAGCAGCCTCACACACAGTTCATAGAGGCAGCCAGCATCACTGCGTCCTGCATACCTACAGGAAGATCCAAGCTGTTGGCATTACCTGAAAGAGCTCTGCAAAGGCTTCACCATGCTCACCAAGTTACTGCAACTCTGGCTTGAGATGGAAATCTGCAATGGTTCTTAGCCCAGCCCACCACCTCCCTTCATTCACCACAGGAACCTGGGCTTTGGAGCTCACGTGCTCCAACAGTTTAAAGCCTGTGAGCCCTGTCCCACATTCAGAATCCTGCCAGCTGAGGTTTTAAGGCCCAATATATATGAGGTCTATGCCTTCCCTGCTCTTCCATATCTTTCTTAACCTTCTGCCTGTCCTCAGAGTCTTCCTTAATACTTACCAGTCTCTTACCATGATTTTAGGCTGGGTTGTATCCATCAGCTCTTCCCAGTAGCCCTCAGCCCTAAGGTCAATGACCTGAGCCTTTCGACACCATCTGAAACACAAGATGCTGATTGGTATCACAGTCTCTCCTGGGACTGAGAGAACCAAAAATGCCCCTTTCCTGAATAAGAGAAGAAAGCAGCCTTACTCATAAGATGTAACAAAGTATTTATGGACTTCTTCACTAGGAAATTCTTTTCCAAAGTCCCCTGGGAGCTCTTCAATTTTCCAGCCATCACCTCCATTCTCTACCTCTCCCCAGTGCTCCAAGTCTTCTGCAAATGGCAGAAAAGAGACTTGGATGAGTCCTGTGGATGTGGGGAACTTGCCCATCTCACCCTGGAACCTTCCTCTGGCTTGTGAAAGTTTGATATTAAAGACACAGCACTGATTTTGCACATAGACTATGGATATGTTTGTTAAGTAGAGGTCAGGCAAAAACCTTCAGTCTGACTGAGCCTAATCACACCAAACTTTAACATTCCCCAGCAAAGTGGCTGTGTAGGTGTGGGTTTAAGAATGTGCTCCAGGGAAAGGATTCAGGTATTCTTAACAGTGTGTCAGCATTTTCAGTGTCAGAGCACACAAAGACTCTGGGGACAGATGCTGATTGCTTTATTTCTAAGTTTTCTAAAGCACTAAGTGGCATTTTCTGAAGCAGTAAGACCTTAAACATCAGGGTTTTCAAGAGGAAAACCTGGATGTTGGAAAAGCTTGCAGAAGGTCATCTGTAAACAAAATGAGGAAGCTGTTGCTTTGATATTGCTTTGGTCTATGATGAGTGAAATTTCTGCTGCTTGGGTTGTGAGGCTTGGTTATGGCTGCTTATTGCTAAGCAGCTTGTAGCTCTGGCAAGTGAAGTTCATAAATTCAGAATAATGGCACATGGGCTGTGGTGAGGAGGGTAAAAACACAATTGGCCTGAGCTGCTCCAAGGAAAGAAGCCTGGAGGGCTTGGTGAGCTGAGGGCAGACTTGTCCCTGAGATGGGAAAGGCTTCATCTCTCCTATCATGGCTTGGCAAGAAGCAATACAGAAACAAATGCCACGGCCATTACTGTGTTGGATGGTTTCTGCAAAGGACATCTTTGTGTCTCAAACATAATTTAGATCCCTGCAGAGGTTATATAAAGTTAGTATCATGTAAAGCCCTTTGATTATCAAAGGCCTTTGTGCTCATTAAAGAATTTGGCTGCACAGATTGAGTGACTTGACTCTTGGGCAAGGAGAAAATTCTGCAAGCTGACAGCAACTAAAAATCTATTTTCAAAGACTAGAGATACACAATTCTCTAGAGTGGCTGGTCATCTCTCTGACACCTTGAAGCTTGTTGTGATGTCTCTCACCTTCACCACATGGGTTCTTGATGAGATTCTTCCTTTTCTTACTCAGGAAGTAGAAGCTTTGCCAGTTCTCTGCATCTGACTCTGCATCTGCCCTGGTGAGGCCTTCCTGCTGACACTTCAGGATCCAAAGTGCAGCTCCATCAACCAGGTTCTTCCACTGGCAGCAGACCAGGCGGCACACGAGCACCAGCTCCACCGCAGGAATGGAAGCCAGGATTCGGATCAGAACTGCTTCAGGGAGGGACTCCATCCCTGGGGCAGGCTGGCAGAACTGTCTGAGAGAGAGGGTGGAAAGAAGTGGTGAGGGTTTCCCACCCTCAGCAATGTCAGACACAGATGCAGTAAAAAAAAAAGGGAAAAGAAATATGTTATCTGAAGGCATGATTTTGCTTCCTAGCCCCAAGGTCTCCTGTTCATTATTAAGTTGCTATCCTGAAGCAGATTACTATTTTTATATTCCAAAAGCCCTGAATTAAATCTGCCCACAAAATGTGTGTATTTGACAACTGCAATTGTGGGCAGTCAGTTCATTTTCCAGGCTGGAATAAGTCCTTCCAGAATCTCTGCTGCTGCAAAAATCAGCTTCTTGGTAATGATTTCCTGTGCAGAGGGACACACGTGGCTGCTTGTTCAGCCTTTAAGAACATACCTGATAACAAATGCTGCAAAGCAGTACTCAAATATCAGTGTTAAGCATCTTGCCAGCCACCTTTGCAGTGGTTCATTCTCTGGCAGGCTTTCCCTCAGACTGCTGGCACTTAGTCACCTTTGTCAGAAGTCTGTATAAAGTAAAGGCCTGAGCATAACTGAAAATAACTGATATTCTCCAATATTCTATTGTCTATGGCCTCATTAGTGGAGGAATTAAGTCAGAAGTGTTTGCTCTAACTTCATGTGCTAATTCTGAACTCCAAACAGCTCTCTGCTGCCCTGAATTCCAGGTCCTGGTGCTGCAGGACTGTAGAAAGATGAGTGTGCAGATGCAGAGCCCACGTCATCCCTGAAGGATGCACTGTGACACTGCTTTTTTGTCAGCTGAGTCCTGGTGCTTGGAAGCTGCTGAGATTCCAGCAAACTGCATGGATGCAGCCAAACTCCTCAGGAATGACTCCTTAAGCCTGGGAGAGCACTAAGAACAGAGATGAAATACCCTGGCATGCAACTTAACGAAATACAGCAGTGCCAAACTTGACAAGGAAGGGAAGAAATTGGGAGTGACTGCTGTAACAGCATCCTAAATCTAGACGTTCAGATGTGTCCTCTATCTGCACTGCACCCAGCAGGAGCAAACTGTAATTTAAAATTCCTTGGCTTTTGTAGAGATAGCATTAGTGACTTCCCATTCTCCCCACACTTCCAGCCCTCAACCACAGTCCCGAAGGCTAAAATGTAATTTTTTAAAAGTAGGCGGGAAGGATCATGCTGGTACAGGAATTTCAGGAGCCTCTCCTGCTGTCTGTCTGCTGATGGAGCACTGTTAGCCAGGCTTCCTCCCGCACTCGGGAGAGGGACGGAGGGACCTTACTTTTCCTTTCCTACCCCAGTTAAGCATCCAGGCTTCAGCAGGGACACGCTCCCATCCCTTGCCGCGCTCGGAGCACACGCGTGTCCCTCCTCCCTCTCTGCCCAGGAGACACCCCGGGAAACCCGCAGGGACCAGGGGAGACGCCGGGCGCTCTTACCTGGGCCGCTCCTGCCTCGATCAAGCTCTGCGCGTGTAGGAAAAGCGACACCGGCTCTGGTGATAAAAGAGCGCGGCCCCGCCTCGGCTCGGCCCAGCCCGGCCCACACGGCCCTGGCCCGGCCCACACCGGCCCGGCCCGCCCCACACCGCCCTGGCCCGGCCCACACCGGCCCGGCCCACACCGGCCTGGCCCGGCCCACACCGGCCCGGCCCACACGGCCCCGGCCCGCCCCGCGGAAGGGCCGCGGCCCCTCACATCCGTCCGGAGGCGCCGATGGGCGGAGCCAGGTGTGGCCGGGGCCGGGGCTGGGCCGGGGCTGGGCGGCGGCCACAGCGGGGCACGGGCCTGGCTCTGTCCTGGCTCTGTTGGTAGCGGGGGGAAACTCTCTTTGCTGCCGGCAGCTCGGCTCGTCGCGGCGGGGATTCCCCATCGCGCTCTGCCATGACAACCATCGCTGACCTGCCCGAGGACGTGCTGGTGGAGCTGCTGTCGCTGCTGCCCGCCCGGGACCTGATCCACACCTGCCGGCTCGTGTGCACGCAGTGGCGCTACGTGGTGGACCTGACCACCCTGTGGAAACGCAAGTGCCAGCGCGATGGGTTCTATCGTCAGAGCTTGGACAGAACCGTCTCTGACTGGAGAGTCTTCTATATGCTCTTCCACATGAAGAAAAATTTAATCAAAAACCCTTGTGCTGAAGGTTAGTTCCATTATTTATAATAAGGGACTAAGAGTGTGGGACACATATTGAGAAAGTAAGAAAATTACAGACTGAAAAATATTCCAGGCTGGAGCTTTTCAGCTCTGTTCCCAGCCGATAAGCTGGTCCAGCTCAAGGCTAGGGAGAATTTCTCCCAGGGTGATATCTTGGTCAAAATAAAAAGGAATTAATAACAAAGATAGAACACCTGTTGTGGTGTGTGCCCAGGCCCTGGCAATGGGGTGTCTTCTCTCTGAACCAATCACCTTTTCTCTACTCTGGGAGTTGCAGTCATGCTATAAAACCAAGTGTGTTTGTGAACAAACTTGTCTCTTTCTTCCTGTCATGAAAGACGACCATGTAGCTGTGATCTTATTTCTGCTGCACTTAAAGGGTTAAAATCCCTTTCCACGGCTACACTAAGCCAGCCGTCAGAACGCGTCAGTTCCTGCATGCCTCAACTCCGGCTGGTGCTGTGGGACTGCGAGTAGCTCTGCTAGGTCAGATCGACAGCCAAACTACAATAAAACTGCTGTGGGTAGATATGTATTTGTGGTTTTTAGCCAAAAAAATCTGGAGTCATAAGGCCCCATATGGCAGGCAGTGACCATGAGTCAGTGTCATGGATGCCTCAACTACTGCTGGTGCTGTGGGACTGCGTGTAGCTCTGCTAGGTCAGATTCACAGCTCAACTCCTACTATAAAACTGCTCTAGGTAGATATGTATGTATTTACCAATACATTGTGGTTTTAGCCAGAAAAATCTGGAGTCATAAGGCCCCATAAGGCAGGCAGTGACAATTAATTTACACTGCAAGTACAATGTGGTAGTGAAACGATCAGGTATTGGGATTAAACATTTGGGCAGCTGGAGAACTTTTGTTACCAAAGACTTGACTAATATGACTACAGTAATCCTACTTTATTGCCGATTTTGATTTTCTGATGAGGTGAGAAATCTGCTACCTACTGTCCTAGATGCTGACAACCACATTAAAGGTAAAGGCAGCATAATGACAGGAGTCACTTGCAGCTGTAGGAAAAATACAGTGGATCTGAAAACAGATTGCTAGAATTCTCCTACTGCTAATTCTTATGAAAGCTGAGATCCTGCTGGTGGCTGAAGTGGAGTCCTAACCTTGGACACCTGTGTTTCTAGAGAACTTCCAACACTGGACAATTGATAAAAATGAAGGAGACAAGTGGAAAATTGAGAATCTGCCTGGAGCTCATGGAAATGCTTTTCCGGATGCCACAGTACACAAATACTTTGTCACTTCATATGGGTAAGAACTGGATTCCAGTAATCTGGAACTGGGAAACCTGCTTCCTCCCATCTGTCTGGAAAGGCACCAGGGTTAGAAAGCTGGTGGCAGGTTAGTGAACCTCAGAGCACCTGTGGGAAAAGGAAGGAGCTCAATTAACCCTTTCAGCCAGTTAATCTAAAAAGATTGGTACTGCTGAGAGAATTCATCACAGCAGATGCTAATTTTCTCTGCCTACCAGGAACTTCTGTAATTTTTACAGTTAGGGTAATCCACGTGGGATCCTTTCTTCTCCTCTCCCAAAGGTAGTAGGGAAAGGTTAGAGGTCTGGAAAACGTAATCAACTGCACTTACATGACAAGGTTAGAGCTCTGTAACCTCCAGGAGTGGTAGGTACGTCACACTAATGACTTGTAATAAAAGCTGTCACCAGAGGAATATCAACAGCTTTTACAAGCACTAGGCACTGGTTTCCTGTTACCAATACATAAGTACAGAGATCTCTCTTAATCCAGTTTGTAGGTAACTATTCTTTTTAGCTTGGGGTGAATCTAATTCAGTTCATTTTCTTGTCAGGTTCTGGATGAATAAGGCAAGGTTTAGCCAGGTCAGCTTTGAGGGCCTTCAGGATCTGGGTGGGTATTAAAGCTGTCAGGGAAAGGACAGCAAGAGGAAAAAGATGTGTTCTATGGAACTGTGAGTATTTCTGTGTTTCAGGCCATGCTTCAAGTCTCAACTCATTACCCTGAATAAAGAAGGCTATTGGAATCAGCTGATGGATAAGAATCGGCCTGAAATTACAGTCAAGGACTGGTGAGTGGAAGCACTGAAAATTAGAATTTCTGGCATTAGTCTAGAGGTAAGCTAGGCTTCTGGAGCCTTTCCTGCTATAAAATCAGTTCTTTATTCTTTGGGAGCTGTAGTTACTGAGTAAAGAATAAGCTAAATCTAAACTTACTCAGTGGACTACAAGCTGGCAATCCTGTGAAGGGTGGGATGACTGTAAATTCCAGAACTTCTCTGTAGCTATGGGGATGACATTCCTTTTCCTCTACAGACAGGGATGCCCTTGGAGACTGCTTTTGAAAAATAAAGAGAACTGAATGCTGTATATACAGCCCTGCTCCTTGATTCCTCCTGCCTCTCCAGGTACTCTGCCAGGTTTGACTGCGGGTGCCGCTATGAGCTCACCGTGAGGCTGCTCTCGAAAGATTACATTGTCCTGGAGGAATTCCACCCTGAGCCAGTGGTCATTGAGCAGTGGAGTGATGCCAGGTGGAGAGAGGTGAGCAGCAGCTCTGGAGGCAGGAGCTTTACAGCAGTGTTATGACATACGTGTGTTGCAAGTCTTACTTGGCCAAAGTACCAGTGACTTTCTCTGCTCTTCAGCCTCCTCTTCTCTATAGAGAACGTGAGGCAGTCCTTGCTATTGATGATGCTGAAGAACCAGCAGTGTCCTGAATGAGACCAGTGCTATTTTAAGGTGTCTAGCATTTTTTAAAGAGTATCCCGTGGACTTTTGTGTTGTTTTAGTGCAGTCTTTTTAATTGTTTCTTGGTTTTATGTAAGATTCTGTCTAAATAATTAAATAACAAGAGCAGATTTCAGGTTTTTTTCTGATCAAAACACTGTTTTAAAACTACTGCATGGATAGCCAAGTATTGCAAATTTAACTTTTCTTAAACTGTTACAGGTGTTTAACTACTTTGATCTGCTGTACATTCTGCATTAGATGTTACTTATACATGCACTTAAGAATCAAACTTAATGTTAAACTCAGATAGGATTTTGGGGAGAAGGCTGAGTGAGAAAGGCCAAAAACCCCCCAAAAAACAGGGTATGGTGCACTTTCAATGAAAGATGTCTGGGCTCAGGAAGAGCTCATTGTAAGACATACACACTGTAGTTTTCTGAGCTTCTAGGTGAGCACTGGTTTATTCAGGCAAATTAAGAGGAATTCTCTTTTCTGTCCAGATTTCTCACACCTTCCAGAATTACCCAGAAGGAGTTCGTTACATCTGGTTTCAGCACGGAGGCCAGGACACGCAGTACTGGGCAGGGTGGTACGGGATCCGTGTGACAAACAGCAGCATCACCATTGGGCCCCAGATGTCATTATGAAGCACAGTGTAAAGGTTTGCTTTCACTTCAGGACTGTAACCAAGTAGCCTCGGGTGCACTATTTGCTTATTCTCTCTGGGTGTGTCCTAGCTTTGTCTTGCAGCTCTTGTTCACAGCAGAACTTCTGCAGGCCCCGCCCTTTGGAAGGGCTTCTGTCTTCATTTTCCATCCTCTTCTACCATGGATGCTACTCCAATTACTGGCGCCCTTCCAGAGAAAAACTGGGACAATTAAATATGAGTTCTATCTTTTCTAATTAATACATTCTTATGCTAACACACAGAGTCTTAAAGATACTTTCTTGTTTATGGAACTTAAGAAAGATAAGGCTAAAGTGTTTAATTTCAGATTATCAATGCTATCTACAAGGGCTCTGCCACAGATTGTTTTGTATGGTATTTTCTTTCCTGTTTCAGTTTTAAGATTCAGTTAAAATTTATTATCTGCATCAGACCCTTCAGAGCATCAGGAAACTCACCCCTTGTTCCTAAGTGCTGTGTCACTGGTAGTCAATTCCTTACCCTTTCTCTAAGTGTGTATGATCAAAATGGTACCTGCCTTCCTATCCAAAACAGTTCCTTGGTGTTTGAATAAACAGGTAGAAAAAGAGGAGGTAGGGAGTCCCTTCAGGCAGCTGCCTAACTACACAGGAGCCTTTTGATTGTGTTGGGCTTTTCCCACATCACCTTTGGTTTGTACTGAGCAGTGTAGCCCGATATAAAATGTTAAAGCAGTGCCCAGCCTTGATCTGTTATGTTCCTACACTTGTTACTTGGAGGAAGCAGGAGGTTCTAGACAGGCTAATGTACCAAATTCTCTGACAAACAAGCTCAGCTCACTATGAACTGTGTCTGCCACCCTTATATACCCAGAACTAATGCTAAGGCCATGTTCCATCTCCTCTGACAGGCATAGGATTAACAGTGCTTTCCTTGCCTGTTCTCTGTTAGGAGTAGGGTACTTGGCAGGTGTCCTTGCTGGACAGACAAATTCCACATTGCTAATGCCACCTCTGAGTGAAAGGCGAGAGACCAAGGTTGCACAGCCTTTCATAGGAATTGACAGAGTCCACAAATGGGCTAGAAATGCAGTGGAAACTCCACACAAAATAAAAATACTTTCTCACTGAAGAAAGGAGCCTGGTTTTGACAGAACTCAGCCCAGTTCAACTGGGGTAAAACTTAGTATTTATTGAAGACTACTTGAGATGGTCACAGTGGACAGACACTACGTAAGGCCTCACTCCCCCTTAGCACAAATGCTGCTCTCATGGATTGTGTGACAGCTCCTTGCTGTCTATCATTGCCTGTGTGCAATGGAGCTGCCCTTTTCAGGTGAGAACTGGACTGGTAATAAAGCACTGACTCCTCAGGGATGCACTGTATCAACACCTGTGCTCTCTCACACAAGTCAACATGGGAACAGGCTCTGGCTCCCCATTCCAAGTCAGTTCTTTATACATAAGAGCACTTGAAATAAAGAGGCAGCAGCTGCTCTACATTCACCCAGAAAGCCAGCTGAAGAGATGGTTATCAAGTTTGTGACAGATCTTACTTCACTGGAAGATCAGACAAAGCTTGAAGGCAGGGAATATTTGAAATCAGGTGCCTTTGTGAGCTCGCTCTTCTACATAGAGCTGCATCTGGAGAGAGAAACAAGCAACAATCCTGTTGGTACACAGGTAAGTGAATGGGGAAAAAAAAAGCCTCCAACAGGCTGAATAGGAAGTGCTTATACCTTCCCCCATAACCAGGTTTTGTATTTTACTATGAGGAGTCTTGCCCTGATTTGATTACTGGCACAGACATCTGCAAGACGAAGCTCAGCAGCATTTTTTAAAATCGTTACACCACAGAAAACTGAAGAGCTGGTGTCAGAGCATTCAAAGTTCAGAACTACAGCAGGTTCAGCACCTCTTGATCAGAATGCTGTGCTCACCTTTAAGATGTCAGATGTCATGGTTTTCAAGGGAATAAGTCGGGGGTCGTGCATATGCACATCTTGCTCATCAGCGAGGATCCAAGGGAAATCCTGGGGGCAGGAACACAACGTGTTACTGGCAGGGCTGTAAGGTGAGCTCCTCCTCAGCACTTGTTTTGTGTTAAGTTGAAAGAGAGACAGAGTGGCTGAGGGAAGGAACAGGTAATTCAAACCTTCTACAATAACAAAACACACACTTGTCTGTGATGCTCAGTATAATTATCTTCAGTTACAGCATCAAACTGAGGTCAATCCACTTCACTTACTGCAAAGGTGACATCTTACTTCTTTAAAAGATACACTCAGCTGTCCTGAGCTACCATGCACAGTTCATTACACCAGGATTTCACTGCAACTCCAGAATGCTTAGGGCATGGGTTTCCATCCTGCCTTGGAAGTCTAAAGGTGGGTCTACTACACCACAGGTTTCCATTACTAAACATTGCAGAACAGAATTTCATTTTGAAACAATTTTATACTTTGCTAGCTTTATTTGTTGGGCCTTAGGATACCTATAATAACTTGGCTCAGGAGAAAAGTTTCCCAGTATCTAAGCAAGGATTCTTGAAAAATAATCTTCCTTTAGAAAGCGTTCGGCACACAGTTTACTGTGACATAAAATGTATTTGTGCCCCCAAACCTACTCATTATTTGAATCTTAGTCTTTCTTGTTCTTTATACAAAATCAGCCACCACAGAGTAGATGGTGGGTGAGAGCTGCTTTTTTACTTGATTAAATTCAAGTACCTATTCTACATGCCTGACTATTTCTAAGTGTCTGAACAAGCACTAGGCAGTGAGTATTGTTACAATCTATTTCAAGACTTGAAGTTGTCTGCAGCTGTGGCTGTGTGTGCCAAATGTGCTGTCAGCTCACCAGTGTAAACTATTTCACCACATTTCAAGTACAGTCATGCCTCGTGATACCAACCTACACATTTAAAATATCTCTCAGCCTTAACCTTAGACATGCCAAAACTCTGCACTGCCCAGTCTTTGCTCTGCAGCTTCTCACACACAGTCAGGTGCCCAAAGGTATCACTCACCTTTATCACCTGGATCTTTTCCATGTTGCGTGTGGCAGCCTCCCGTGTGTGAACCAGCACTGTGAAGGTGCAACCTAAGAGAAGTGTCAGGTGCCAGCTCAGGGGACAGCTCCCAGAGGATCAGCCAAGCCAAGCAATGCCAGGCAATAGGCTGTTTGGATCCAAGTGACATTTACCTGGGGGGTTGTTGTCCAGCACAGCATCACACACACTGATTTTCAGGATGAAGGCACGCAGTAACTGCTCCACGTGGGATAGCAGGGACTCAGAACTGTGGAGGAGACAGCAGTTGTTACTAGCATGCAACAAAAGCCTGAAGTTGCTCCAGAATATCTCCCAGGGCTGGGTGTTGGACACCATGGGCAAACAGGAGTGAAAACCTCACCTAATGGAAAGAAGAGGTGGCTGGGTGATCTCGAAGACAAATCTCTCCACGGGGTGGTGCTCTTTATCCAGGATTACAACCACAACTTTCTCCACATCGTTCTGCAGGAACCAAGACAGAAAAATCCCTTCCTTAATATGAGCTGTCTGCTGCCCACGGTGTGCTTCACATACTTCAGTGCAGTGGAGTACACTCAGTTGTTGGGGCTCGCAGCACAAGCCCTTATCCAAAACCTGAATTCAGATTCTTCTTAGCATTCAGAAAAACCCTATGGCAAAGCCAGGTGTTAAGCTGCCAGCTTGTGGCTAAGGCTGAGGGATATGAAGTGTGCTGAATTGTACATTCCTCTAGATCCTGTTTTGGAACAAAGGAGGAAATGCACAGCCATCTCACTGCTTCATTCTGGGATAGACACCAATGAAGTTAACATACATTCAGACCGTTGCCCCAAAGAGAGCTGCTTTGTACAACCACAACTTAAAACAGACCTAATTCCATTTTCCACATGTGCATTTAAATTGTCTGCAAAGAGCAAGGCATACAAAACCTTCCAGCAGCCTCCTGGAATGTTCCATCAGTCACACCCTGCTCTTGCAAAACCTGGAGTCCAGACCTTCCTTTGCTTGCTGGTTCACAGCAAAGCATTCAAACTGTTCTGCCACAACACATGCTTAAACTGGGATGGATTGTAAAGCAGAATGGTAGGATGGAGATATACAGACACGTGTCCTTGTGTGGTATTTGAGACAAGCAAGGCACGATCTTAACTGCCAGGAAAGGTTATGAAGCTTTTAGTTTTGTCAGGAACTTTTATCAGCTAGTATATTGTGTATGGTAAATTTGTAAACAAATGTGGCTTAAGATAATAAGATAATATTTATGTTCTCTTACTTTCTATCAAATCCACTTGCAGTACTTTTGCCCAGGTCCCTGGTCTGAGCTCACCTTCTCCAGCAGAGGCTTTACACAGTGCAGCGTGTCCTGGATGTACTGGTTCAGCTCTGGGTGGCAGGACATCTGCAGCAAACACAGGGAAGAGTCAGAGCTGTGTTTGATATGAGCCAGAACAATGATAAAACGGAAAGATTTAAACAGAAGCACCAGTGTGTACAAGGCATTGAAGTCATGCTTCAAATAGTGCTGAAAAATGCTGAGTTGCCCATTCAAACCAGCAATCCTTTCAGGGAAGGGTTAATCAGCTGGGGCAGATCACTGCACCTACACAGCTGTTGTATATCTGGGATGTATACCCACAACAGCATATTGGGAATAGCATATTCCAACCATCTCTACTTCCTAGGAAACATGCTTTCCTGTTACCTCACTGCACAGAGCTGGGGCAGCCTTCTGCTACTGTGATCTCTGACCTGCTTGTTCCATGAGCACCTGCTGTACCCTCAGCTACAGGACTGCTCTCTGTTATGACAAGAACTAAGCTCTCCTCAAAAGTAAGGCTGTACATTAAACAATCACTTCCAGAGTGTAAGTTTGTTCTGGTAAGTGTTGACTGATCCTTGCTATTTTGCTTGTCCATGTGGCTGTCAGCTTCCAGAAAAAACTCTTACCTGGACAGGTACATTGTATTTTTTCCTCTTCTGAAAGATCCCAATAGGGTAAACTTCTCTGACATACAAGATGAGGTGAACAGCTACTTCCAGGAATTCTGAAAGAACATCTGCAACAACTGAAAAACAGAAGTAAAGGATGCTGGAATAGGGCGTAGGAAAGTAGAGCAATACCACAGACTCAGGGGAACTTTTTTTGCAGGTTTTATTTTTCTGCATAAATTTCACTCTTGGCTACAGAAAGTTTAGGGACAGAGCAACCCTACAACAACACTCCCCCAGGCTCAGTGCCCAGGAGAAGCCTCACAAGGACACCAGTTACAGCTCAGTACAACACATTACCTTGCCCAAAGTTAAGGTCCTGCCGTGTGAGAGTGGTCATCTTCCCCAGGCCCTGGAAGTAACCACAAAAGGAATGGTTATCCTCTGGCTCCTGGATTATTCATCTGGCCAGTTCATGGAGCTGCACACCAGAAGACCCTGTGAGCCCACAGTGAGAGGTGTGAACACTCTCCATAAGCACAGCACTTCCTCAAGGATTACCTAATGGGAGAAATCTTGTCCGGACAGCAGGAGATCTTAGCCGAGTATTCACAGAGTCCTCATGGAGGCACGAGTGAATCTCTAACATTCATCACCATGGTATCAAAGCACACATATTGTATAGGGTTTGTTACAGTGAGCACATGAATCTAGCAAGCATACAGTTGGTTATTAAGCACTGTCCACATATTACTTGTTAATTATTGATTGGTTTCACATTCTTTTACAGCATCTTCCCCACCCCTTGGCTCAGGCACTCCACCAGCTTAATCTAGTCACATCTGCTTTATCTATTTGTTACTTTGCTGTACTTTCCCTGCACGTCTATTTACTTATTTGCTACTTTAATGTACCTTCCCATCCATTTGTTGTTACTTTATGGTGCTTTCCCATCCGCTTACTGTTGTTACTTCACTGTACTTTCTCATCCAGCCTGTTCAGGGATAGCTCAGTGTCATCATTCTCCCAGCCATATACAGGGTTGTGCATAAGAGCCTCAGGGAAGATATTATGTCCCTTTTCTGCCATAATTTCCTCTATAATTACCAGCAGTGCACAAGACAGTGCTCACACCTCAGGATGAGAGATTATTCATACTTTAATTCCTGAGGTTTTTAATCTCTCTCCCTTTCTGGGATATAGGAAAGTTCAGACAAATACTTTTTAGTAATGTAAGAAGCACTGTTTTTTTAAAGCTTCATAGTACTTCCCTTTTCTAAGCCCTATCTCCCACTATAACACAAGAACTGCTTGGGGTTTTGGGTTTATTCTAACACCACCACAAACCATTGCTTGCCCAAGCTTGGAGCTACATCTTCCACTGACACACCGTCACACAGGTTCTCACCTGCTGCCACTGCCAACAGCTTCTGAGTTTCCCTCTGCAGTCCCAAGGAACCCAAACCCTGCAGAGCTGCATAATTAAGTCAACTTTGTGACACAGGATTATGAAATACCTCAGGTTGGAAGGCACCCATAAGGATCATGGAGTTCAAACTCCCTGCTCCTCACAGGACCACCTAAAACTAAACTCTGTGACTTAGAGCATCATTCATCTGCTCCTTGAACTCTTGACAGGCTGGGGCCGTGACTACATCCCTGGAGAGGCTGAAATTTGTGAGTACAAAGGGCACCACATTATTGTGACAAATTGAGTTTCATGTACCAACAACCAAACAGCAGACGCTGGAGTTCAGCTTCCCACCAGCATTTTTTGCATAGCAGACTCCATGCCTTACACAATTTAAGCCACAGTGTACTTAATTATCTATTAGAAACTTTGTTTCATTATTTTATCCACACCCTCTGCATGAAAGCCAATTCTAACTACTACAGCAGTACTGTTCATGAATTGTAGAGGTCTTTAAATGCCTCTGGAGCCTACTGGCTCCACCAGTAACTCAGGTGTCCTACAAATACTTTTGACAAACCACAGATGCTCCAATCAGCTCTTTAGACACTGATTTTCAAGCTGTTTCAGCTGCAACAAAACATGTTTTTCAGACCTACAAAGAATTGGTTCAACCTGCACAAGAGAGGGAGCTACTCTCACCCACAGTTTTTAAAACAGTTATACCACTATATACAAGGACTTCCTGGAATATTAGTGATCTGCTACACTAAATAAAATTAAGATAGTTTAGCATCTCTCTAGCACCTCAGCCACAGTGTCTCTCAAAAGGTCTATAGAATATCATATACAATCTGTGTTTTAGAGGTTTAGGTTCACATCCTCACTTCATCCCTCCTTAAAGAGAGGCCCAAGCAACCGAAGGGATCCACCTTTCCATGCAGGCACAAAGTAGGAACTACTGCACGCTCAAGGACTGTGCAGGCTGGGAGATCATGGAATCACAGAGCAGTTTGGTTTGGAAGGGACCTTAAAGTTCAAATTCTTACAACACCCAGCCAGACGCAGGGCCACCTTCCGCTACCCCAGGCTGGTACAAACTCTATCCAACGTGGCCTTGTACATATCATGTAACTATAATCCACCATGCCCATCACCAGAGCTCCCGCACCAGCCCAGAGCAGCTGGCACAAGCCATGCCAGCAACCCTGCCCGTGCTGGGCTCCCGGTCACCGCCGCTCCCTCGCCCACTCCGGTGTCTCAACCCGCGAGCAGAAGGGAGGGAGGACGGGGATTGATCCCTGAGCGCCCGGTCCCTCTCAACGCACGGCACTGCCTTTGCTCAGCATCATTCCCCAGCCTGGGACCCGCCCGTTCGCCGCTGCTCCCTCCCGGAGCGGGGCTCCCGCCGCCGCCGCCGCCCCCACTGCCGACAGGGCACCGGCCGGCCCCGCCTCAGGGACACCTGCCCCGGTGTCTGCCCCACACCCGTGTCCGCCCAACGCTCCTCCCTCTCCCGGTGTCCCGCCCCGTCCCGGTGTCCCTGCTCGCCCCGGTCCCTCCCCATCTCGGTGTCCCCTCTCCCGGTGTCCCTTCCCTCCCCGCCGTTCCCCCGCTCCTTACCGGGCCCGCCACCCGTCACGTCCGCCCAGCGCGCGGGGAGCGGCGGCGGCGCGTGCGGGTGACGTCAGGGCGGGGCCGGCGAGCGCCCCCCGGCGGGCGGGAGGAGCGGGCGCGGGGCTGGTCCCGCGGGGTCCCGGCACCCTCAGGGCTCCGCCGTCACGGCGGGGCCGGGGACTCGGGGCTCGGGGCAGGCAGCGGGGCACCCTGAGCCGCCTGAGGCTCTCCCGCCCCGGGAGCACAATGCGGGGGATCCCCGCGGGAGCGCGGAGCCCGCCCCACCGCGCAGGTGAGCGGGGCTCACCGGCTCACCCGCTCTCCCCCCCCCGCCACCTCCCCGGGCTGCCACGCCTTTGTCTCCGGCCTTTGTCTGTCCCGTCCGTGCCAGGGTCGGGGACCGCTGCTGCCAGCAGCAGCACCCTGCGCTCTCACCAACCTCCTCCTCAGCGCCGGGCACCCCCGCACCCCGCTATGCCCCTGTGCCTCCCCGCACGCCCGCAGCCCCTCCGCCCCTCCCAGCCCCACCTCCTCCCGCACCATGCACCCCAGTCCCCCGGGATTCCCGACGTCCCCGGTTCCTCTCCACATTCCCCCACTGCCTTCCCCCTGTCTCCTCCTCCTCCTCCTCCTCCCCTCCTCCTCTCGGGTTTGAACACCCCTTGCCCCCCGCAGACCTGCCTCCCGTCCGCCGCTCGCACAGCTCTGCCCTGCGTGCCGGGCTCCGCCGCACCGGCACCTCCGGGACAGGTAAGGCAGCGCTGCTCGCGCCGTGCTCAGCCCGCCCCGGAGCCGGGGCCGGGTGCTCCGTGCGTGATTCCCCTCTGCTGTGGCAGGGACTGGGGAGGAGTGGGGGACATCTTCCCACTTTCCGTGCGCCCCGGAGGAGACAAAGACGTGGGGTGACGGGGATCGCCGGTCCTGCCCCGTCGGGATGCGCGCGGAGCTCCGGTCACGGCGGCATCGCTCACGGTGCGAGCGAGCACAGGGCTCGGACAGCGCCGGTGCTGGGGCGCGGTGCCTTCGGCCGGACCTATTGTCACCCGTGCTGGGGAGCGGGCTCCGGACCCTACCGAGGTTCTGCCTCCGTGCCCTGCACCGTGTGCTTTGCGGGGTGTGCGGTGCGGGCTCTGGGACTCACGTCCCACCGCCCCACTGTGGGTGACTCACTCCTGCGAGCGAGCTCCCGGATCGCTCTTGGAAGCGAAGTCGCCTCGGACAGAGGCACCGTCCCTCTCGCAGGGGCTGAGCGCCTCCTGCACCCAGGGGTACGTCCCGGCTCCGAGCCAGAGATGCCGAGGGGTGACGGGAGCTTTTCCTACCGAGTCATTGTGTTTACACAGCCGTGCACTGCCACGCTCCGAGCCCCTGGGTACCCGCGGCTTGTTGTCTGCTCTTCCTCTGCTGATAAGAGTGAGGTCTCACTTCTGAGTTAAATCAATTTGGCATCAGTTAATGCCTTATTGCAGCTAGTGATTAATCATGTAGAATTTAAGTGACACTTATCCAATTCACACCTGAAGTTTTCTGTCAGCCGGAGGGTTTAATGGAAGTGGTTTTGTATTCCCATCTCCTCTCTCTGGAAGAAGGAGGCATTAATTCTATATGCATGGTTCAAAGTGAGAATGTCATGCAAAGAAGAATATTGAAAGCACAGTCTAACTGTTCTGCCAGTCAGGACACATCCACGTGAAGATCAGGGCAAATCTGCCCCATTCTTCCCTCTAACACTGGCCAGTACTTTCCAGTCGAGTGAACAATGACCTTTCCTATTGATTGTGTCCCATTTGTCACCTGGCATTGCACATGAAACTGAAGTCTTCTCTGCCACGCTGACAGCAAGCAACTATATCTTGGATGCTAATCTCAGGCTCATTGCTATTTTTGTCTCATTATTGGGCAGAGTAGACTCTGTTTGATAGCAGGTCACCTGCGATGGCTGTGTCAGCCACGCTGTGAAGTCCCAGAGGGAAGCAGAGCAGAGGGTACTGCATATTCATTCATGGGCCCTTCAATGCAGTGGCTTGCTGGGCCGACCTGTCCCTGGCAGATGTTGTGCTGGGAAGCTCTCAGGACAGGCTGGGCTAGGCTCAGGGGAAAGGGTGCCACAGCTGTGGCTAGGGGCATGTAGTGACTTGAAGGTATCCAGTGTCAACCAAAACACTGGACTGGAGCTCAGCAGGGACTCGGGCAGCTCACAAGCCTGGGCTGCAGGAGAGGGAGTTCCCTGGGCTGTGCTGTGTGAACAGATGACCTCTGTCCTGATGAAGGCAGAGCACAACCTGTCAGCCAGGGCTGATGGGTGAGGCGAGTCCCAGCTCCAGCCCTACAACTAATGTTGAGTGAATCAAGTTTCAAGTGATCACTGGATACAAATTGCCCCAGGGAGAGGCTTTGTGAAGGCACAGGGGCAGCTACAACTACTACTTAATGCCTTGCAAGCCTGAATCCTTATGTCCTGTCTCTTGTGCCATTAATGCAATTGGTATCTTATTGAATTTGGCCCTTTCTACTCTGGAGTGCTGGCTGGGGATAGCAAAAGTGAGAGAAAAGAGCACAGGTAAAGGAACCAGATGTTTCAAAGGGCAAAGGGGGGGTGGGTGGGTGTGTATGT